GGACTCACCACACACATGAAGAATCATTGTTTAAAGTCATTAAATATATTTGGGGGAGATTTCTAATGTGCGTTCATTTCTGTCCAGCTAAACGTACCTTCGACCTGGAGGAATACAGCCTTTCTCAGTCCACGTTGGAACAGGTACAGTGTGATGTTTATAATATTTCAGAGACAGGAGCAAGAAAATACAATGTGTAAAAATGAACATATTTAACCTGGTAACTAACATATTCTAAAGAATGTCTGTGTGGGGATCAGTCCAAGTAATAATGATCCCTAAATCTTACACCGCACTTTTCATCAGGACATTCCAAGGTGTTTTACAAAGCAGGCCAGCATCTTTATTCTCAGTTTACAGATGGGGAAACTGAGGCACGGAGCAATGAGGTGATTTTCCCAAGGTCACCCAGCAAGCTAGTAGCAGGGCCACAAATTGAACCCAGGTCTTTAGAGTCCCCATCCAGTGCCCTGTGCACTAGGAACACTGCCTCCTAAATGAGAGTTATCAGTAAGTTGTATAAAGGTTGTCATCTCAGCACTGAGGTCTATGCCGTGTACCTGTCAGAAGCACAGAACAATAATTGCAACGCCTTATGATTTGATATGGAATTTCTATTCAGATGCAAATGACACCAATGTACAAGCATTCAAAACAATGGTTATCAGTGAGTTTGCTCAGTTGTAACTGACGTTAGAATTGGGTCCTGTGTTGGTTTTTCTTCCCCACTTGAAATACTTCTGTTATCCTCTGATAGCTCACATCTTATTGCGTTAGAGTACAGAAACAATTTCTCGTGCCATGTCTCTCTCTTCGTTGCAACATCTTTTTGTGTCAAATCTGCCTTTTGGATTGTTGGATAAATAGATCTCAATCTAAAACAAAATGATTTGAGTTCTTTGTTTCCAATCCTGGGAATTAATTAGACCCTTCCTTTAACTTTCACATTTCAGGTGTTCTTAGAGCTTTCAAGAGAGCAGGAGAAAGAGGATTTTGATATGAATCTGGATAGTACAGCAGAATGGAAACTCCTTCAACAGGATGATAATTAAAGCCCTGCACTACAATCCTATATCTCTTCTACAAACAATATCTGCATGTACAATTACATTCTACGTTATACCCAGTACTAACATTGTATTATGGTAATGTCAAGAGAGGAAAGTTCAGCCAGTCGTCATGAAAACTATTTTTTGATTAATTACATTTGGCTATGGCCACATTTCCTTTTGGAGCAGAGAAAATGTTCTGAGACGCGGGGCTGCATTAGAAAATTGGCCAAGGACCAGAAATGGGGTTGGCCGCCAATAACAGAAGATGAGGGAGCTCACGGGCAAAATCAGTCCAATTTCAATACATCTCTAGTTGTAAATATGATAAAACCAGAACTGAATCTTAAAAAGCCATCTGCTCAGAAATTTGAACTGATAGCACATTTGTCACACAAATCACCCAAAACACATTACAGAGTTTTCAATTAAATACTGGTGGTGAAGTGACTACATCGGGGTGGCCAACCTGAGCCTGAGAAGGAGCCAGAATTTACCGATGTACATTGCCAAAGAGCCACAGTAATACGTCAGCAGCCCCCCAGCAGCTCCCCCCACACACACCGCTCCCAGCTCCTCCCACCCACCGGCAGCCCTGCCAGTCAGCAGCTCTCCCTCCCTCCCCACACCTCCTGATCAGCTGTTTCATGGCGTGCAGGAGGCTTTGGGGGGGAATGAGGGCACGGCAGGCTCAGGGGAGGGGGCAGGGAGGGCTGGAGTGGGGGCAGGGCCTGTGGCAGAGCCAGGGGTTAAGCAGTGAGCACCCCCCAGCACATTGGAAAGTTGGCGCCTGTAGCTCCAGCCCCAGCGTCGGCGCCTATACAAGGAGCCGCATATTAACTTCTGAAGAGTCGCATGTGACTCCGGAGCCACAGGTTGGCCACCCCTGGACTACATGTATTAACCTGTCAGCAGGAATTCATGTATTACAGTGATGAGCAATGCACAGATGGCTGGATATACCGGGGCTGATTTCGCTTTCTTAGTAGATTGATTATGGTTTTAGTCCTCTGACTGCAGCTGAGTTATGTAGATTTGCAGCAGTGTAAGTAAGAGACTGATAATCTCTGTCTTTCTGTAAGTGTCCTGGGTTTTTCCAGCTTCCCCTCACCTTATGGATAGAGGGATCTCTCATCAATGGAGCAACACCCTTCACAGTACAGCAGTAGTGTCCTCTCTGTCGGTGAGCCCAAGTGCTTATATGGGACTAGAATCAACAATCTTCTACCGAGGAGCTGTGATTGCTATTAACTGAGTCTGATGCTTTTACACTGTTATCAGCAATTTACCAGAGCGATCTCATTATTGGAGTATTCTTTATATTATTGGAGCTTCAGGTTACTTGCTATGAGATATGTTAAATATATGAAGAAGACAAATGTTCTCCTCTTGGATGTTAATGGTAGTACTGTTTTGCTGTTCCTTTACCTGCCAATAGGACATGAATAGAAGAGCAGAGCTGATGTCAAAGGGAGATTCTGTCTCTTCAGCATTATTTGTAGGAGACAAAGACAATGACAAAAAAATAAAAATCAGTGCAATATTCCTGGTACTACTGGTAGTTCTTGTGTATGAGTCATTGATAAATTACAAACTCCAACTTTATAAGAATTACGTTGTTTACAGTTTTAGTGAATAAAATCCTAACAGCTGTATATCAGCTGGAATTGTTACACGTCAGGGACTTTCTAGATTTCTCACTACTACTGGAACCTTAAATACCTGCAACTGCTAGAAACACCATCTTCCATCGGTACCTAGCAACAGCACTTAAGATCCTTTGAATCCTGACTCGGCCTTGCTGAGCCACACATTTGTGGCCTCTAAGCTTGACTGTTGCAATGGACCGTACCCTCTAAGCAACTCAGAATGACATGGTGTCATCGCCCAAGGGCTTCAAACGCTAGCTACTCATTGAACATTGAATCATACACAAGGACCTGGTATTGGTTTTCAAATCTGCTTCACACTATGTTACTTCTTGTTCCGCAATGACTAACTCCCTCAACAGAGAAACAAGGTGAGTGAGGAGCGTCCGTGTAAGCTCAAAAGCATGTTGCTCTCACCAGCAGAAGTTGGTCTAATAAAAGCTATTACCTCACCCACCTTGTCTGTCTAATATCCTGGGACCAACATGGCAACAGATCTGCATGTGGTTTAAGATGTACGTTTTTAAGAGAAGTACAACTCATGACAGCTAGTATACTTGTCTTCAGTCACCAAGTACTCCTATTGTGCATTACCCAGCATTAATGCCTAATGCCAGCATGTCTAATTGCAATAAATGGTGACTCCATATATTATCTCTCTCTTGTTGTATATAAAAGAAAATCTGGTATTGATCTGTAATTGTGTATGGCTCACAAAGATGCTAAATGTTCACCTTTGCTCTTTGGACTAGTGATTCTATGATGTTGAAGCAATCGTTGAGATGACAAAGTACTCAAAGAAATCTGTTAAATGTACCCAGACATGGCATGATATAGTAGTCTACTAATTAAATCTCACTAAAGATAAAGTAACAGATGACAGGATGCTGGATGGAGAAGTGATCTCAATCCGTATATGGAAAATTTCAAAACCCCCAAACATCTATCAGAGAAATAACATCAATTCTAACAATTGAACATGTTTCGAATGTGCTGCTCAGATACTTGGTTGTGGAAAAACCATGGGGTTACTTCCCTCACCCCACTGGTTCTGATCTCACACAGATCCCACAAGCAGCAATGCCTGTGATCGACTGTCTTCCAAACAGTGACGCAATGCACAGTTCAGATCTTGGCCAGAGAGTAGCAGGGCAAATAAACCTCTCCCTGTTTAAAAACAAACCAACCGAACAACAAACTACTGAGGTTTTTTAGGCAGCAAAAAGTAAAACCAAAAACACAGTTTTACTTCAATGGAAGATAATCTTATTCAGTTAGGCTGGGATTCTCATAAGTGCCTAAGGGAGTTAGGTGCACAGGACCCATTGATTTTCAGTGGTACTTGTGCTTGTCCATCTCTTGGGCACTTTGACAGTCCCACCCTTAAAGCTGAACCTTGTAGGGAGCCTTAACATAAATATTTGGGGTGAAATCCTGGAAATTGTAGTTTTGCCATTGACTTTAATGAAGCCAAGATTTCACCCATCAGTTTAAAGATTTGACACCCTCTCTCACAGAAAAAGTTTTCCACAAAAGTTGCTCCTATGGGTTTCTCAGCCAGAATACTTTGTAGCAAGCACATGGCTGCCTAGCAAACTGCAGTGTTAATTCTTCTTACAAGATGATGGGGTTTTTTTGCCCGTGCAAATTTGAGAAGGTGGCGTGAAGGTGGCTCTCTTGATAGGGAGAACAGCAGCAGTGCTTGTTAGAGTGTCAGGCAAACCCCTTCATTGCAATAACAAGGAACACAAGGATGCAGCCCCTCCAGGTTCCTGTGGTTTGTGATCTCTGGAATTCATTTAACTGAAAGCCTCCTACAAGTATTATGTTTCCCTAAAACGGTCTAGTCCAAGGGTTCTCAAACTGTGGGTTGGGACCCCAAAGTGGGTTGCGATCCTGTTTTTTAACGGGGTCACCAGGACTGCACTAGATTTGCTGAGGCCCGGGCCCCTCCCAAGGCCGGCTCTAGGTTTTTTGCTGTCCCAAGCAAAAAAATGTTTGGCTGCTCCCCACCCCAGCCCTGGGGCGGCAGGGGGTGTGGGCGGGGGAGAGTCCAGGGCTGGGGCAATACAGGGGTGCGGGGGGAGCCCAGGGCTGGGGTGGGGGGCGGCAAAAAACCTACAGCTGGCTCAGTCCCTACTATTCACAGCAAGCTGCAGGTTTCAGTTCCCCCTCCCTTTCCTGTTGCTAGCGGCCGAGGAATGCTAGGAAATGTAGTTCTTTCCCTGATCCAGGGCTGGCTTTATAGGCAGGGAGCTAACCAAGAAACTACAGCTCCCAGGGCCCCCTGTTGGTTCTCAGCTCCCATGCTGGATTCTTGCGCCCCTGCAACGGTGCCGCCCCAAGCAACTCCTTTCTTTGCTGGTGCCTAGAGCCGGCCCTGGCCCCACTGCCTGGAGCCAAAGCCAAAGTTTGAGAGCTTCAGCCACAGGCAGCGTGGCTCAGGCTTCGGCTTCAGCCCTGGGTGATGGAGATCAGGTTACAGGCCCCCACCAGGGAAGTGGGGCTTGGACTTTGGTTCCCTGGGATCGGGCAGTAATTTTTATTGTCAGAAGGGGGGTCGCAGTGCAATGACGTTTGAGAACCCCTGGAAGGGGCCAGACCAGGTGAGTGAGCTAATATTTTTTTATTGAACCAACTCCTGTTGGCGAGAGAGACAAGCTTTTGAGCTTACACAGAGCGCTTCTTCACCTGGACCACGCTTCCTGTCGGCATTGGCAACCTAACACAAGTTTCCAGGAGATGGTCTAGCAGTTTGCCAATAAAGGGGCTTTCTGGTGTGTCATATGCAGCTGGGAACCTGGAAATAAACGACAGAAATTTGGTTGGGGGATTTGTTGGTTGGAGGTTTAGCTATGCTTGAAGCTTTGGGTTTCTAAACTTTGGCGGTTTATTTCTGATTTTTGTTTCTTTGCCCCTCCCCCCTTTTATTTAATCGTATTGCTTTTCTTTTCCTCAACCCCTCCCCCCTCCCCGTCATCCTCCAGTCTGTTTGGGGTTTTCAAAAAAAAGATTCTCGTTTAGTTGTTGGAACAGCATATTTATTTATAATTCTCCCATGCAGTTCCACTCGTAAATTGGCTGTCTGCTCATGTTACTAACCTATTGATCTCCAAACGGCCAAAGCATTTTTTCTCAGGTCCATACAATACAATGCCAAAGCAACATAACTAGGTATGTCTTACTATTTAAACCTGCCTCTTGCGTTCTATTGTTTGTTTGGCCTGTGCTTCCAAGACAACCAATGGCCTTTCCCATGTAACTTTTCGTACTGCGTGCAACTGGCCACACTTCCTCCTTAGTTCTTAGTCAGCGTCTGAAAAAGGTCAGCAGGGACCGAGATTCTGTGAACCATAATAGGGCATCAAATGGAATTCATTCAATCAAAGCAGCCAGCTACCCAGCCGTCCGTGACACCCGCTGTGTGGTAGCTGGACAATGAGGTTCAAGAACAACCTCACTATTGAGGTGAAAGACAGAGAAATAGGTTTTCTACTGATGAGAATGTTCTACATCTTCGGAACTAGAAAATCCAATTGAATGCATCGCTATCCAACTCCTTATACGTACCAATGCACCAGCATAACTAACCAAAAAAGGCAACTGGAATCTGTTGTCTTTAAAACCAAAAATAGCTTTTGCTTCAAAAACTGCACCTCTTCTTTTTTTAAAAAAGAAAGGAAAATAACATTTCTGGCAGGCGGTGAGTTATTCCCTGTCCTTTACAGCTGGGAACTGCTCAGCTCCAGATTATCTTCACAGTGGCAGCCTGTTTCTGCATTTTCCGGAGCAGATTTTGAGTGTTAATCAGAAGGGCCTTGCTTAAGAGACCTATGAGCCTTCAGCCAGACAACTTCCCGCACTGGGAATCATAAATAGGAATGATGCCCCTGTTTCCCAGTCTGCAAACCACTTCATGTGCCCTGCAGCGTGTCTCAGCCTCTGCGCTGCTGGAGTCAGAGGAGTTTCTGAGAAGACGGATAACTGGGAGCCAAAGCTTTTCTTTTAATTTTGCATTGACTGGCAGGTTTCATTGATTCTGCCAGTGTACCCTAAGCTGCTTCAAGTGGAGATGGAGATTTGGCTGTGCTATTCTTGTAAAGGCAATGAGGGGAAACAAAGAAAAAAAGACCATGTAACCACTCTGAAAACATCCCATGTGCGCCGGACTGTCCTTCTGGGCTTACCTGAAATGCACTCAAGGTTCACCACTGGGATGGTTATTCACACTCAGGGATGGTAGCAATCCGCTCTTCAGTGTCTTAACACTATAATATTTTATTGCCAGCTACTGTAATAATGAAGTAGAAGGGTCTGATCCTTATACTTGTGATGGAGTTATTCTTCCACCTACTGAAGTAGAAGGAAAGGCTCCCACTGACTTCAGTGAGCACAAGAGCCTGTGCTGTACACAGAGCTGTTTTGATTCTGTGTCACGGGGGCCATACATTCTCACCAGTACATAACAAAGGGAGGGCTAGACAGATCTCTGAAGGGAAGCACGCCTTTGCCTATGGAAGAGTCTTGTATTCTTAAAGGAAAAAAGAACTGTCAAGCCAAATGCAATTCAGATGAAAAAAATCCTATTGAATCTCGTATGGAAAGCGGGATGGGAGATACAGAAAGCAGCCAGCTGCCTCGGAACCCGGTGTCCTGGAATGGAGTCAGGGGAGAGAAGGAAAAATAACAAGAAACCCCAGCAGGGAGCACTCAGCCGGTCTAATCCAGCCAGATTAAAAGATTTAGGCAGATCAAAAAGGAAAAGCAAACTTTAAAACCTTGGCTAATCAGGACAGACGCTTCCACCTGCTGGGGAATAGGGCAGGCACAGCTGTGTTACTCTGTACTGAGGGCCTATGTTACAAAGGGTTGTGTGTTTCCTGTCTCTTTTTGCCAGTAGGTGGTCAGATTACCCACTGTCTGGGCTGGCATATTTGGACAGGGTTGAAATATTCTTATAAACTAACTATGAAAATCTGTCCGTTTCACCTTCCTCCAAATTTCTATCCATTGTTCTCTCAGCAAGCACTCAATAATATGTATAGGTGGAAGAATAACGCCATCACAAAGCCTTTGCTTGCCCAGAGAGAAAAGATAGACTAAGGGTATGTCTACACTACACACCGGATCGGCGGGCAGCGATCAATCCAGCGGGGATTGATTTATCACGTCTAGTCTAGACGCGATAAATCGACCCCCGAGCGCGCTCCTGTCGACTCCTGTACTCCACCCCCGCGAGAGGCGCAGGCAGAGTCGGCGGGGGAGCGGCAGCAGTCGTCTCACCGCGGTGAAGACATGACAATAAGAAGACACGATCTAAGTACGTCTCCTGAGCCCCAGGCAAGCTCTGTAACTTACCACTGGATCACTTTTCCCTTCCATTATAGACCAACAGCCAAATATTCATTCACAGACTGCTAGGCAATGCACAAGTCGCATGTTCGGTCAGGGTTGGTAACAGCTACTGCAGCAAAGGCTGCAGCTCAGAGACGCCAAGGTTCAACTTGGATTTCACATCACACAGCTTAGCACTTGCACCATTGCTTCATCCACCCGCAAAGCACCCTCTGCTTCCAATTGATGTTCAGTTAGGAAAGATGCCCACTGACTTCAATGGGGGTTGGATCAGGTCAGGTTGGAAGCATTCAGATACTACAATGATGGAGTCTATACATTCAAAAATCTCAGTAGATAAATCCCAACACTCTTGCAGTGCCACGGTAGCCTGTACCCTTTCACAGCACCTATATTAACAGTACGGGACCTGGTTTTCAGCAAGGCCTCAATTCGGTCTCCACTTGTATACGTACATGTCCATGCACAGTGTCCTGAGAAGGGAACCTAACGAGAAAGCCCAGCGGGCAGCACTCAGGTATTCCAATCCAACCAGTTTAAAAGCATTAGGCAGAGAAAAGAGGCACCATTGAAGTGCATTGCCTGCACACACTGTGGTGTGCAATAAACAGAGTTTATAGGCACAAAATCCTTGTGGATAAAGAGGTTCCCACCTGTTGTTTTTTTATGACCTGTGTTCATGTATGATAGATTCTCTTACCATTCCACCCCTGCCCATGGGCAAATGAGCTGATGTTTGGGAGGACAAAGATGCACAATCATAAGTGGAGGCCACCTTTTGAAAATCATACCCACAACAGCTCCCATTTTGCCAAGAATATAAATTCATGAACCTCTATCATTCAAGCATGATTTAATTATAATGCAATAACTTATATGATCTCTCTTTTCCCTTCTCCTTAAGCTTTCTCTCTGCCTCCAGCTGGGAAAACTACCCTCCTTCCCTATTTGAAGACAAGACGTTGCTGTTTTTGGCTGTTCTCTCAATCTCCAAGATTCTTCCGGCTAGACGCTTTTTTTCATCTGCTGAGCTGTTTTAGGAATGCTTTAGGAATGCTCGCTAGAGTTTAGGGGGAGCAATGCAAAGAAGAAAATAGACCTTTTGCCGCTCTGATTGGTAAACTAATTCCGGTCCTGAAATGACTGACTTTTTTCCCATATAAAATATGATCAAAGGCTCCTGCCAACACACAGCTACAATATAATGGGATGTAAATGAGCGTTGCTGTGCCAAGGCACCCCAGCTGAGGGTCTGCTGCTCTGCTTCCAGAACCGATTTCCTTTGTCAGTCTCAAGTGGTTGGAGAAGCAGAACTGAATTATAATGAGTGAATGGCCGCCCAACATCTGCTTTGCCTTATTTATCCTATGCGTGAAGACCATCTTTCGGCTGTGACAAAATGTGGTGAACTGCGCTGTACTTGGGTAACCTGGAGCTACTTTCATGCAGTATGGTTTTTGATAGGCAGGATGGTCTTGTGGATTTAGGGTGAAAAGATGTCATGATTTTATAGGGACAGTCCCGGTTTTGGGGGCTTTTTCTTGTATAGGCACCTATTACCTCTCACGCCCTGTCCCGATTTTTTACACTTGCTATCTGATCATCCTATGTGGATTAAAGAGAGGCCCAGGGTCTATCTCCAGCTCTGCCACAAACTTCCTGTGGGACCTTGAACAAATCACTTAATCTCCCAGTGCCTCATAGACTTGAAGGTCAGAAGGGACCATCCTGATCATCTAGTTTGACCTCCTGCACATTGCAGGCTACAGAACTCACCCACCCATACCTGTAATCTCGCCTTCCTTCTCTTCCTTCTCCATCGCTCATAAGGTATTGTGAGATTAGGAGTACAGGTTTGCAATTGGGGTTAGGGTTGCAAGTCTTAACTCATTAACGGTTGTGAAGTGCTTTGAAATCCTCATCAATAGAAAGCATTAATTTTTTCTATTCAGTTCAGAGTTGCTTACCTATCACTAATATTATACAAAGAAGGGTTATCTTGGAAGATGGTCCTACTGGGTGATTTACAGGGGCACATAAGACTAAGAAAACCACATTATAGTCATGTGTTGTTCACACCCCCCTCATTCACCCTCCCTCCTGCCCATTCTTGCCATTCACCCTCTTGTTGCCTCTCAAAGTTTGCAATTGGGTGGAGCTTTGCTGAAAAAAAATAAATTTAGAAAGTTCATAACTGAGAAAGTGGGTGAATAGGAACCTCTCAGTGTGTCTAATTCATAGTATCTTCTGGCCTGAGCATCTATCAGCCTCCATAATAGAACTTTCCCTTTTCATCTGCAGCCTCATCTAACAACCCCAAAATCTTAGGGCATCCTGTCTGGAGAGGGTTACATTCATGTGAACTAGAACCTTTTAGTTTGGAGCCGGAGCATCCACAGGGGGTGAGTTCTAGAGCAGCACTATGGTGTGCATTGCTGTTCACATCACTGTAGTCTGAACTGCGGGGCAGTGTAGACCAGTGGTTCTCAACCAGGAATCTGGGGGCCACAAGCAGGTTTCGGAGGGTCTGCCAAGCAGGGCTGGCATTAGACTTGGTGGGGCCCGGGGTAGAAAACCAAAGCTCCACCACATGGCGCTGAAGCCCAGGGACCTGAGCCCCGCCACCCGAGGCTGAAGCCAAAGCCTGAGCAACTTAGTTTTGCAGGCCCCTTGTGGTGTGGGGCCCTGGGCCGTTGCCTGCTTGCTTCCCCCTAACGCTGGCCCTGGCTTTTAGATGCAGAGAAACAGCTGTTGGGCTGTGGAGTTTTTATAGCATGTTGGGGGGGGGCTCATAAAGGAAAAGGTTGAGAACCCCTAGTGTAGACAAACCCTAAGCTGCAGAACTGAATTGGCTGGTATCTCCTAACGTTGTAAATGTTCTTTTCTCAAGTCATCTGCCCAACCTGCTCTGAATATGTGTTTGGACTTTGTTTTTCAGACTGTCCGAAGAGAGACACTCCACCTTTGAGCTTCACTCCTGGGAAGAAAATCTTAAGGTAAACCCACCTGATTCTCTTCTCATTTCATACCAGATGTACCTCCATGGGCCTGCTGAGAGGGATCCCTGTCCTGCTTGTTTGGTGGAATTTACATGTTACGGTTTCTTTTAAAATCATGCTTGTTTGGTGTCACGTTCTGTAATGCAATGGAAAATGAATGTTAATAATTAGCAAATGTCTGCAGCTGGGCTTTTATTTTTTTAAGGATGAATTTAATGCTAAATAGGCCACTCTGCAGACCTAAATCCTTTATTCATTCACATAACAGGTACAGTAGCCAAACTTGTCCTACACACCTCTCCTAATGTACCTCCAGCCAGGGCTGGATTAAGTTTGATGGGGGCCCAGGGCTGTTATGGTTTTGGGGGCCCTCTTTGTATATTCAATTTCTTCCCTTTACTGTTTTACCACCATCCCTGCGGGATGCCAAACACTCTATTGTTAAAATGACCTTGATTATTTCAGGTCTGGTTTTTCAGTGGGATATACTGTCCAATTGTAAAACGGAATGAAAGTTAAAATGAACAAAACCATTTTTATTTCGACACGTAACTGGTCGTAATACACATAGTGATACTATGGCTTTACTTACCTAACGCAGTCGGTTTCAATTACATTTTCTGGCAGACCGGCTAAGGCAAGGGACAGATGTTGGCAGCCAAAGGGCGTTTTTAAGGGCCGAAGGGCACTTCAAATGTTTGCTCTCAAATGAGCCTGCTATTGGCTAGGGATGGCAAACTTTCCAGAGTGGTGTGCCTGTTCCTATTTATTAATCTCACAATGAAAGATTGAGTGTGCCAGTAGACAATATTCCAACAAAATCTTGCACTGCTATTAAAGCAATATGCTATTAATATTAATTCAATTAAAACTATGGAACTAAAATTAGAAGTTAAACACACGAGAAATGAACGGACATCTAATTTCCCTTTCTTGCTGCCTGAAATTTTGACACTCCCCTTGCATGGCCCTTCTTTTTTAGCGGAAAAGTGTTGCACAGTACGCAACACGGCATTTACTGATTGCTTTACAGTATCTGATTGGGTGTCTGATTAAAGGTGTACCACCGTAAGTCTGCATCTATCAACACAGTCCAATGTGTTTAAACGTAAATGAAAAGTGTCTAAATTAAATACATGGCATGATAGTAAACAGGGAAAATAAACTGAAGTCCATCTGCCCAACCTCATCAATTCAACCGCCCACACTCCATCAGTTCTGCCCTCTACCCCCCCATCTGCCAGTCTCCCATCAGTTCTGCCTTCTAGACCCCATGTGCCCAGCCCCCATCAGATCTGCCTTTAGCCTCCATCTGCCCAGCCCCAATCAATTCTACCCTCCATCCCCCATCTGCCAGTTCCCCATCAGTTCTGCCCTCTACCCCCCATCTGCCAGTCCCCTATCAGTTCTGCCTCTAGCTCCCAGCCCATGCCCCCCAATCAGCTGTGGCTTCACCAGCCTTCCCTCTGCTCTGTAGTTCTTCATCCCCCCCTTCCCCTTCCAGGCAGGAAGGGGCAGCTCCGGGGCTCCTTCACCCCCTTCCCCTGTCCCAGGGCAGCTGTTACAGGAAGGGAGGAGAGGAAGAGCTGGGAGGGGAAGTGGAGCCACCCTGAGTTGGGAGGTGTTTCCTGCTCCCCCAATCCCTCCTGTGAGCAGGGATGTTTCCTCTGCTCCTCTCCCTGTCCCTCCTATGAGGATAGGCTAGGTTCCAGAGCACTCTGCTACTTCCCGGGAGGCCTGAAGAGACAGCTGATGCCTAGCGGGGGGAACCCTTACGGCTGGATCTGGCCTGCAGCCGCCAACTGAAGAATAATGCAGTAAATTATATATATTGGGGGAGGGGGGGTAGAGGACTCAAAATCCAAGGCCCTGGGCTTCAGCCCCTAGAGTGCCTGCATTAATCCAGCCCTGCTCCACCCTGACCCCAAGGGATCCCCTTGCAGGATGAACCTGCTTTTCCCTTGGCCCATTCATTATCGGATGTGGCTGCCTGGTTGTTCTTGTGGTACTGCCAAATAGCCATCAGGTGGCAACAACATTTGGTCATCCGGACCTTGGCTGGAGCTGAACTGGTGACTTTGAGCAATCCTAGAGGAGTCCTGCCCGCTCTTCGCCCTGGCCTTTAGTACTGGAAAAATGACCGCCTGGCAAGATTTTTCTTTGCTCACTTGAAACATTTTGCTCTGCTCTCTGCCGACCCTCTCCTGACAATTGGTTTGCATACACGTTATGCTTTAAGGAGAAATCAGTGTTGCTCAATGGCCCATTGTATCCACCACAGTCACTCAGCTTTTCTCATTTCTCTGCCTGCAAGGAATCTGGACAAAATGTGAAAGGCAGCATAAAATAAAGAGGGTATTATTCAATCCTAATAAATGGGCAATCCCTTTTTCAATAAGACTGAATTCTCTCCACAGCCTTTCTACCCCTCACAAGTTAACGACATGTAAAACATGCAGAATTCTCAAGGGGCGAACATCCTGTTCGTTACAGAACACCCTGTTCTGACTTGCAGGCTGGGTTCTGAGTACAGTCCAACAGAGGCTAGAGAAGATCTATCCCTAGAAATGGTTATCTTTTTTCTCCAGGGAAGCGGATCAGAACCTTTCCACCTGCATTTTTTTTTTATTGAAGATGAATCGAAAGCAAGAAGAAAGAAAAGTCTCGATGCTGAGCAGTGTTTATGGCTCCTCTAGAACCATCTGTTCTGAACACCAACTGGCTGCCTGCTTGTTGACAGCACAATCCTTACAGATTGAAAGGTGCAGTATGCAGAAAACAAAAGCCTCAGACCCTAACGATAGCACAACGATACATACATGTAGGGTTTGTAGCATCAGGTCCTATATGTATACTGGCAGAAACCTTGGGCCAAATTCAGACTTGGTTTACCCATTTCAGTGGAGTGGATGTTGGCCCTTTATACGTAAAAAGAAAGGCACGGATTGCAACTGTTGTATTATACATGCGCCCGCCGAGAATTATACAGGCTGAATAGTACGTTTAGGATCCTTGTTAATTGCCAGGAAATCTCTCTCATTTCTTTTCAATCATATAAGCAGAGCCATGTGAACTCTTAGAGAACTTTTGTGCATTCCCTTCAGTGTAATTAGTGTCTCAATTGTAAGAGGAACAGAAGTGTGTTTCTCTCAACTCTGGCTGTGTTCCACTGGCTGAAATTCAGGGCTGCGTCTGAACAACAATGTGAACCTAAAATGCTCCCCGCTGTGGGATGATATAAAACAACTTGCTTCTTAGTGCATTTTTCTTTATACCTGGTGTACACGAAGACAAGGCAGTTTCACGTTGTCTCTTCCTTTCCCTGCCACCGGGGGCAGTAGACGGAACCTACCAAGCTATGGAATAAGTACCAGGCTTGAGAATTAGACAAAGGTAACTTGGATCCCTGTGGCATCTGAGGAGAGAAGTCATATTAGCTATTGTTATGTATTCAGAATTAAACTGACTGCCCCCGCTGAGTTCTGGAAGGAATGACTGGTGGAGTAGGGGGTGGTTCTTTCCCCTGGAGCATAAAGGGATCAGCGGTTAGGATCAGCGGTGCATATCCCATGTACTCAAATGTCTACAAATGCAAAGGTGCCTTTGGCACTCATGTACCTCAGTCCATCCCTATCATTTCTTAGCTTTCATGTCTGTCTATAGATGCTTTCCCTCTCTTCATTTAATTCAGTGAGAGCTTGTTTTCAGCATCCAGTTCTTGGCCTGATATCTTTTGACAGGCAGGCAAATACTGCCCCTCCCTGGCTTCCCATTAGTAACCAACCAATCTTCCCATTCAGTTATATCTGCAAGGTTCTTTGTTTGTTGGTTTCCGTGAACTTTCAGCTCCTTGATGCTGAAATTAAAATGTTTGATGCTATTGGGCTACCATAGTCAACCCAGACATCCAGAGAGAGCAATTTCCACCCGGAATACTTTGCAAAGCTTGTTGTTGTTTATTTGTTTTGTGGTAGCACTTAGGAATCCCAGTCATGGACCAGAACTCCCTAGTTCTAGGCATTGTACAAATGCAGGACAAACAATGGTCCCTGCCACCATGAGTTTACAATTCAAGGGCTTGTCTATATGGAGACTCAGTGCACGGCATGCTGGGGTGCCAATCTACAGACCTGTGGACTCTTCCTCCGTGCACTAAAAGTTCTGGAATGAGCTTTGACATACCCCTGTTTCAAACAGCAGGTGGCTAGCGATAGATGGGGGAGCACAAGGGGACAGTGAGACTATGTTGGCTATACTAGCCTCCTGACTACATCTTTGCTGTGGGGTGCGCAAACCCAGTGAGACTGGCCGGCGGCTGGTTAATTCTGTACCAGGTAGTGTACACACCCTCACTGCCATCATATGAGCCCTGCTGAACCACGGGGTGCTTCATCTCAAGCTCCCCTAGCATTTGCCATGATGGCCACTTCTCCTGCAGAACAAATTAATGGCAGCATTTTGGAATAGGAACATGCTATGTTTTGCTGTTTGGACAGACCCTCTGGCTTGCTTTTTGTTCAGGTAGGAGTGAAGCCCTTTATAAACTAAACAAGTCCATTGGCCATTCCCTCAGTAAATCATACCTGTATCACACAAACTGTTGATGGCACAATGAGGTTACTTCGTGCAGTTATCGCTACAGGCCCTGTTATGTCCTTGTTGACCGAGTGTTTCCTTCAACACTTTGACAGGCATGTCTGAGAACAAAGAATTTGATGGAGGGGGATAAATATTTCTTTGGAAGCAAACCTCATCTTCGGTTACAGATTGTGCACAGTTTCTACCATACTAGGTGCAGGCTGTATGGAACATCATGCCTCTACAAGGCTTTCAGAAGTACTGGTTTGCTTCAAAGGTGTCTGAGTACATGAAAGACTAGAAGTGGAATGTTTAGTTCCAAAGCAGCTGTGTTCGAGGTTCCCACTGTCAGTGCTTTGTCGAAAAACCCTTCTTTTGGTCTCTCAGGAATGTACGTGCTAAAGCCTACGGGCTGTTCC